GAGATCTTAGACCTTACAGGATTAAAAAGCATGTGTATGGAAAGTGATTATTTAATGGGTAGGTAAAAAGGTAAACAAAATTTTGCCCCTGCCCATTCCGTTTCTCTTTCCAAAATTGGGTATTTATTATCCCAGATTTTCTCTATCCAAACCCAGTTGGAATTTGTAAATAATTAATATTTTGAATAGTTGGAATTTGTAAATAATTAATATTTTGACTAAGGAAACATACAGGCGATCTTAGAATTTAAATTTAAATTCATTACCCAAACAATCCCACTGGTTTAATTCACAATTAATTTGGGTCTGTGTTTTGGACTTGTAAAACTTGTCATTTTCTTCCAAACAAAAATCATTTTATCCCGTTCAAATTTCTTTCCTGTTTTAGTTATTCACTAAATTTTACAATATATCATTTATCTCCTAAACATTATTATCATTAACTTATTGTTATATTTTAAAATACTACTATTAGAATATTTAATTGTTAAAATTTTAAAAATTTTAGTTAATATATTAAAAAAATTGAGTAATTGGAACACACCAAATCTTTGTTACGATAAACTCTCTTTAAAATAGAAAATCTCGAGAATCAAGCTCACTTTCGCATGTATATTCTCTACCAACAAGATTTGATAACAATAATAAAGTCCTAAAATTGTTCCGTTGGCCCCTATTAAAACATCATAATTGACAGTTTTAATGTTTCAAAAGAGTAAAAGAAGAAAAGGGTAAATTTCACCCCTAAATTTTTTTCTTTATTTTATTTACCCTTTTAAATTTTATAATTTACCATTTATTTTTAAGGCACTAATACCATTAATCTGCCGTTATATTTGTATTTTAAAATTTACAATTTAAATACTAATATTTTAAATATTACTATTAAAATAGTTAATTATTAAAATTTTAAAATTTTAAATTGTTATCTATAATCAATAGTAAAATTATTAATTATATTTAATTTTTATATATTAAATTAAAATATGATTAATTTTACAAAATCAATTAGACTTTTACACAATCTAACTAAGTAAAAAATTACCAATTAATAAATAAACTATTTAAATTTTGTATAAATTGTTCAAAAATGTAATTGAAACTTAACTAAATTCAAATTTTTTATTCACATTTTCTACTAAATTCAAATTATTATTCATAATTAACAACTTTTTATTTAGTTAAGTTGTGTAAATAGTTTAAATTAATTTTGTAAAATTTAGTTATGTTTTATTAATTTTGGAAACGTCAAAAAAAAGTGTGGGCCAAGTTTTCCTGTGTTAATTTTTATTTATTTTGATTTATTTAATTTATAGTTTTATTTTTTAAAAAATTCAAATATGATTGACTGATTAGTACTATATTAATAGTTTTAAGATCTACCAAATTAGAATCAATATCAATATTTCTTAATACATCAAAAAATCAATAATCTAATTATGAAACATCAAGAAGCTTAGATATGCCAACTCAAAATCAAAAATTAACTAAAAATTTTTCTCTTTAATTTTTTTTATAATAAGGGATTATGATAATGTAGACAGATTATAACAAATACGGCAGGTTAAGAGTAAACCCTAACAAAGAGGCAGAGAATGCGGTTAGGATTAATTTGGCATTACGAAGGAAAAAAAAAAGGAAACACATAAATACTTAAATTCGCCGTGGATTTGAAATTCTTATCCCAAGAAGAAAAGGGAAAAGTTTAATGTTTACTGGAATGGAAACTAACCAAAAACAACCTCCCCGGTTAGTGCGAGAGAAAGTTATCCGTTCTTATTCCTATCATCTTCCCTTCTCCTCCCTCTATTTATTCTGCCAAGCCTTTCTTCTCTGATAAACTCAAAAACCCTCCTCCGGTCTCATCAAAAAAATAAAGAAAAAAACTTTCTTCTCTCTTCTCTCTTCTGTCTCTCCTCTCATCATTGTTATCCGTTTCTGTATTCTGTGATCAACTGTGCTTCAATGGCGGACTCTAAGTTCGTGCTGGTTATGGTGGGCTTGGTGTGTGTGGGAGTCTGAAGTTTAAGAGTGGCGTTGAAGCGTTGCCCAGGTTTATGAGGATTTGATGTGTGCTACTGCGTCTGAGGTGAAGCCACTTCATCGAACTGGGTTTCACTTCCAACCAAAAAGAACTGGATCAACGGTATGTGTATCATGCATATATACAATAACTAACGTCTGATAATTTGTGGTTTTATATGATGTTGGTGTTTTCACTTTTAAATTATTAATATTTCAAAATTAATTTAAATGATTTAACGTTATTTAATTTTAGATTTTCATTCCGCATATGAATTATTTTCTAAGCAGGAAAAGCAAAAAATTGCTGAGGAATGTATATATATGTTTTTTCAATCGGGGTTTTTTCTATTTAATTCTAAAAATCGAATCTCAGAATGAGAAAATAAAAATGGAATAATTACAGCAATTAATTATTTATAACGCATGAAATATAAAACATATATGTATATATATCTGAGGGTTTCCTTCTTCACGCTGTGTGAGAAGGTGAAGACACTGCTTTCTCTCTCTGTGAATAACATCCACGTATATATGAGTGTGTGCGCGCGCGTGTTTATTTTTCTGCATTTTATGCATAGAATATCTTCAATGGCTGTCATGATGTCTATTAGTACGTTTAAGTGTCAATAATTATCGGAAAGTTTTACGTACGAATGATTGAAACTATTTTCAGAAAAGAACGATCGTTCAAATGAATAGAAAATTGAGAAAACTTTTAGTTTGAATATTTTATAACCCTAATCCGGAGAGTTGGGAGGCGATCCATGCAAAGATGGAGGTTGTACGGTCACATCTGTCGACTCATGATTCACTGTACAAGTTAAAATTTACTTCTGCTTGGAATATGCCTCTTTTCTCCTCCGGCGTCCTCCCGCCGCCGCCCCCACAACAAACAAAATAAAATAAAATTGAATCAACACCTTGGTTTTTTGTCTTTTTTTTGAAACTTACCTCAATCAATTTAAACTGGAAATTAGATCCCCTTGGGCTGGGAAAAAAGGTTAAAATCCTCACCAAAAAGTGACTTTGGAAAAATCAAATTTGTATTCTCACTTTTTCGGAAGATTAATATTTATAATTTTTTACTTTTTTGAGAGATCGAATATACACTCTCACTTTTATAAAGTTATCACCTCAATCAAAACTTGTTGAATTCCATTGGTTCGTGGTTTGGGGTGACAAAGTGCACTGCTGAGGATAGCACTGGGTTGTTATGGGCTTACGAGATTGTTGGTGATTTCACCCCTAGTCCATATTATCTAAAACTAATTTTAGTGTTTAATTAGATAATTAAAAGAAATTCTAAATTATTTAATTCAAAAAATTTAATGATCAATACCAATGAAACGGGGAAACGGAAACAGAAGTGAAATGCAGCGTTTCCAAATTTGAAAATCAACCCGGGCTTTGTCTGTTGGTGACCCGAGGTGTTTTTGGAATCAAAGTATGGATTTTTTGTGCTTTAAATTTCGCACTGTTGAAAGTTGGCATTATTCTATTCTTTGTTGGGACGGCACACGTGTCATAGTGGGTGGACTGTTTCTTTGATAGGCTACTTTCAGAGGTTCATTTCCACCCCACATAATAATGATTTTGGCAACATTTTCTTGCATCTGGAAAATCATGGTTCATATATTTTTACCTTAATTTCTAAATTAATTACCAATTTTCAAGATTTTAATAGTTTTCTAAAACTGCCTTGCACATAAATGAATTCCACATTGACCAAAGTGGAAGGGTAGTTACACCGAACATCAAATTGCTTGCATTTTTTCTTTTTTGTCATCAAAATAATATTAAAAAAAATATTTTGGTGAATTTTAAACTCTATATTTGATATTAGATTTTTAACTCAATAGTTTAATAACCTTAACAATTATAAGATCAATGTCAAAAATTAATTTTGATATTGATTTACAAATATTATAAATTCTAATACAGTAAATTAGGATTTAGTATTAAATAAAAATTTATACGTGAGAGATGATTGCAGCTCATCTGCCAGGCAATGTTTGGAATATCTGATAGTTTTAAGTTTACACGTGGTTTTCTTCCAAGTTTCCATTAACGTTGTATCTTCATTTCTAACAGTTTGTTCCTGTTGTCATGTAGTGACTGTAATTCTATCTGTGATTTGGGTTTTTCCAATCTATGATTACGATATTTGGGTATTGAAAAGTTAGTTGTTTTCTTCCTTGGTTTAATAAGTGACTTTATTCTTGACCATCTATTGTTTCTGTTCATGTTCAAATTCGGACTACGCACAAACCCATGACAAACAGATCCTAATGGTGAGTATTTTCATACATTTGAGTCAGGGGTGTTTGCTTGAAAATAAAAAGCAGATTTCGCAAACTTAGAATTTAAAACTCTTAATTACGAGAATTTTATGAACTTTTACAAAGAAAAGGCAACTTTGTTTCTTCTAAAGATAAATTGTTTTACAAAACAGTCGTTTTTTATATTATTACAAAAGCACTTGAAACTCAAAAAGAGTTGAATACTAAACAAAACCCCTTTGTTCTGCTAACTGCGGAGAAGCAAAGATCAGCCAGTAATGTCTTCTCTCTCTTGAAAATTTAACAGGACCAATGTACTACAAAGGGATCTACCACCTATTTTATCAGTACAATCCAAAGGTGCAGTTTGGGGCAACATTGTGTGGGCCCACTCTGTATCAACGGATCTGATCAACTGGATACCACTGGAACCGGCAATCTACCCATCCAAACCGTTTGACAAATACGGGTGCTGGTCCGGGTCGGCCACAATTCTACCCGATAACAAGCCTATCATCCTCTACACTGGCATAGTTGACCAAAACAATACACAAGTCAAAACTATGCCATACCGCTAACTACTCAGATCCGTACCTCCGAGAATGGGTCAAGCCTGACAACAACCCTGTTGTGTCTCCGGGCATCGGTGTAAACCGAACCGCGTTCCGTGACCCGACAACGCTTGGTGGAGCAAAGATGGGCGGTGGAGAATATTAGTGGGTAGCAGGAGAAAGCACAGAGGGATGGCATACTTGTACAGAGTAGGGATTTCCACGAGGTGGACCAAGGCCCAGCACCCGTTACACTCCGTCGCCAAAACGGGTATGTGGGAGTGCCCGACCCCGATTTTTTCCCGGGCCGTGGATAGTGAAATCGGGTTGGACACCTCGCACACGGAAGGAAATATCAAGCATGTGCTGAAGGTCAGCCTTGATTTAACTAGGTACGAGTACTATACGGTTGGAACGTATTTACGGGACAAGGATAGGTATATCCCGGATAACACATCCGACGATGCTGGGCCGGGTTGAGGTTCGATTATGGAAATTTTTATGCTTCGAAGACATTCTTTGATCCAAGTAAGAATCGGCGGATCCTTGTGGGGATGGGCAAACGAGTCGGATACCCCAAAGGAGGATGTCCAAAAAGGTTGGGCCGGAATCAGGTAGTCCATCTTGATGTTCTTTGTCATGGTCATTGATCTTGGAATAAGCCCATTGTGCTAACTGCTAAGCTGCTTTTTTGACAGACTATTCCGAGAAGATTGTGGCTTGATAGAAGTGGAAAGCAGTTGGTACAGTGGCCTATTGAAGAACTAGAAACTCTTAGAGGGCATAAGGCTGAACTTAGCAATAAGCACTCAGTTTGGGAAAAGTTGTTGAAATCAAAGGAGTTACAGCTGCACAGGTTTTGTTTGTCTCAGAACTAGTTTGCCAAAATAGTTTTAAAAATCAAAAACAAGCGTTTTGAAAACAGGAAATAGGCTCCAAATCAAAAGCCCACATTCCAACAATTCATTTACCCTTAAATTGTTTATACACAGGCTGATGTGGAAGTGATTTTCACAATCCCAAGCCTGGATAAGGCAGAGGCATTTGATCTCAACTGGGTTGGGATGGACGCGCAGCAGCTTTGCGGCCTGAAAGGTTCAACTGTGCAAGGTGGGGTTGGGCCGTTTGGGCTTCTAACCTTGGCTTCAGAACACCTTGAAGAATACACTCCTGTCTTCTTCAGGATTTTCAAAGCAGAAGAGAAGCACGTCGTCCTCATGTGCTCTGATGCAAGCAGGTTTGATTCTTTGTTAATTACATATATGTTATTGTTCAAGTTGATGTTCCGAACTTTTGCTTTCTCCCGAAGTCCTAAGCTTGGTATGGGTGCTTTGACAGCTCTTCCTTGAAGCAAAACTACAAGCCATCCTTTGCAGGCTTTGTGGACGTGGATTTAACTGACAAGAAGCTCTCTCTCAGAAGTCTGGTGTGCCTTTTATTCCCCTCCTCTCCTTCCTCTCTCTCTCTCTCTCTCGTGTCCTGTTGCTGTTCGCATGAAATTTTTTTAATTTAAATTTTTTTAATGCGCATGATTATTTTAAAATATTTTGAAATTATTATTTCTTTCTACGTAAGTAAGAAAAAATAGAAGTAAAAGTAAATTCTACAAGTAGATTAATAGAAGTAGATTATAGAAACACGGAGAAGTGGCATTATTACACTCAAAATAAAAGTATTTTTAGATTTTTTTTTAAATCTAAAATTATCTTATGAAAATTTTCAAAATTTTTAATAATCTTTTCTTCTTCCAAAACAAATTACAAGAATTATATCTCAAATATCAATTTTATTACTTTTGAAAACTTTATAATATATTTTGCAATATAACTAATTTCTGATTATCACTCACCTCTACCCACTTTTATTTTAATCTCTAATTTCTAATTTTTTAAAAGTATTTGATAACACCAACCACCTAATTGGGTCTTTATTTATCTATTTATTATTATTTTTTTCTTTTGCAGATTGATCATTCAGTGGTGGAAAGCTTTGGAGCGGGGGGGAAAACGTGCATTACCTCTAGGGTTTATCCGACGCTGGCAGTGGGAAAATGCTCGTCTCTACACGTTTAACAATGGCACCGAGGCGATTACATAGTGGAGAGTTTGAAAGCCTGGAGCATGAGCAAACCTCTGATGAACTGAGACGATCAGATAATATCACAACAAAACTTTAGTTTATTCTTACCTCTATACTAGCTAGTTAGCTAG